GTCCAACGTCTGTCTCGTGCCTACTTCCCGAAGTGCGCTAATGTCTTTAGGCCTGGATGGCCTTCCTGACCCCCTCGAGGCCAGCAGAGCCTTTATTGTCCTGACGGAAGATTGCACCTGGAAAGAGAAGGGAAGATTTTCATTTGTTTTTGCAGCTTGTGTGGTGTGTGCGTGTGAAGGAAATAAAAGCCAAATGGGAAGAAGGAATGTGGGAGAGGTGGACGCACCGTGGCAGAGTTGGAAAAGGCTTGAGGAGAGGGGGACACGATCACAACACAACAGAGGCAAAGGGCCGCTTGGGTGGCTCAGTCGGTTGAGCCTCCGACTGTTGGTTTCCGCTCAGGTCACGATCTCACGGTTCGTGGGTTCGAGCCCCGCATCTCGCTCTCAGCTGACAGGGCGGATGGAGCCTGCTTGGGATTCTCCGTGTCCCCCTCTCTCTCTGCCCCTCCCCTGCTCTCTCTCAAAATAAATGAATAGACTTAAAAAGAAATGCTAAGAAGAATGCTTCGCTTGGTCAGGAAATGCCGGGTGTGGGGACTGGGGGCTGAAAGCCAGGCCCCGCCATCAGGCAGGGTTGTCGGGGACTGGCCTGCCCCTCCTCGTCATCGTCATCGAAGGGAAAGATGTGCACCCTAGAACTCTTTCTAACGCCTCTTCTCCTAGCTTGTAGCCCAGCCTGACTCTGCCCTGGTTTTCAGCACCCCAACAATGAGCTCTGTTATGCCCACAGGCTCCCCTCTGGCCTTCTCCGCCCTGGGAGCCGCTGGGGACCCTGAAGAGTTGCCCTCCCCTTCTGGAACCGCGGGCTCTAAGGTATCTACAGCTTCCACGAGCTCTGAGAAGGGAAGGCCCTAGAAAGACCCGGCGCCTCCCTTCCTTCCCCCACGGCTTGCTTTTCCCAGCCGAGGCCCTCCTCACAATGGAGCCCGGCCAGGCCCTGTTGCTGAGGGAACCGGCGGCAGGCCCAGCCCCCTTCCCCACAGAAATAACCAGAGGAGAGGAGCACGGATTGAATTGCCCTAATCTCCAGGCTTCAGAGGAGGCTGGGAGCCTGGCCAGCCTGGGGCGGCAGCTCCCCACTGGCCTTGAGGAAGCCGGAGTGCAGGGGCCTGGCCCTTACCTCTCCCTCCTACCCCACCTTCACTTCTCTCTCCCCAACACAACCCCAGCG